CATTTGGCACCCTCTAATTTTGATGGTTTGAGAAGTAGTGATTCAATAGTGATGCTTTGAGAACCAGTGCTCCCTGTCACCTTCTCCACAGTATCTGCGTTTTGAAAGCCCTCCGCGATACCCACATCTGTCGTCATTTTTCTTGGCTGAGAAGGCGCTTAGTTCAAAACCTTCTCATAGAGAAGCTGTGTCATACTGTGGTTCTTAATGTTGTTTCCTGTAGTTATTTTGCTTATGCTATATCCATGTTATATCCAGTTGTGCTGTTCTGACTGATGTGCACTTCAAGACATAGTTTCCCCATAAGCTCTAGAGCGAAGCACGTGAAGGTTTTCTATTTTGGTGGTTCTTCCCATCCTGTTGGCTGTTCTGATAGGAAATATGCTGAATATTTTGAGTGACCGTTCGAGTACTGCCTTGATACTTTTAGAAACTGTTGACGTTAACTCCATGAATTCTTTCCTGCATGGTGATAATTCAGAAATCATCGTTATGTATATTATAGTCATTTTACCCCTGAAGAATTAATTTGCATTTATTCCTTGATCTTGCTGAGATCCTTCACAATCAGTTCTAGTTTTGATTATGCTCAGTGATTTTTTGCCTCATCAGGTTTTATTAACTCACTGATCATCTCTTTTCCTGATTATCTTAAAGTTGAACAGCACAGATCCTTTTGGGATTGTATGGAAAATTGCTGTCTTACCTTTTAATGAGATACTAATCCCTAAAAAAAAACCCATTACCTTTTGCCCCATAAGAGCTGGAAAGCAGCAGTTTTGGATCACACAGTTTGTCAAAAGCTACTTGAAATGCCAAGCTGGGTGCAATCAGCCCAGATAGATGCACGCATATATGAGTTAATTCCTTCACCAAATCCTCCCAGACCTGTGACACTTGGGATAACAGACTCAGTCCTGCAGGTGGGAAGGTAGAGAAGTAAGAAAGAGGAGGAAGGAGGTGGAAACCTTTAGAGGTTTCTAGTCTGATTCCTCCACACCCTTCCCCTGCACAGAGCTCAGGGCCTCTCATCCTGATGAGCTTTGTGCAGCTCCACGGAAGGAGGTGCCACCACCTCTCTGGGTGCCTGTTCTAGTGTTTGGTCACCCTCATGCACCTGTTTCTGGTCTTCCCTCTGAGAAGGGTCTGGGTCCGAAGGGTCTTCTCTACGTTCCCCATCAGGTGGTTGGAGGCAGCAATAAGGTGTCCCCTTGGCTTTCAGGGTTGAGCAGACGCAGCTCCCCCAGGCTCTCCGTGCACGCTGTGTGCTGCAGCCCATGACCAGCTTGGAGACCCTGCAGTAACTGGACCTGCTTCAGCACGTGCAGGTCTCTGTTGTACCGGAGAGCCTGGGCACAGTGCCCAGATGTCGCATGAGGGCTGAGGAGAGGAGATCACCTACCTCGACCTGCCAGCTCTGCCCTTGCAGACACGGCCTCGCGAGTGCCTGGCCTGCTTATAACAAGGGCACGCGTGCCCGTGTTCACCCATGTGAACACCACACGCTTGCTGGGTTTGCCTTCTGCAGAATCCGTGTTGCTTATTCAACATTTTCATATTTAACCTGTATGCCTTTATTAATAGTTCAACCATTTTGCCATGATACAGATCACGCTTGCTCAGGAATGTTACTGTTTGCCATGGTTTTGTTCCCGTGCACGGAGACCAACGTAAGCAGCAGGTTGAACAGCTGCAGTGTACGAGTTTCTGTACGGGTGAATTTCAGCTAGTCCTGGTGACTTGTTTTTATTCACTTACCAGTTTGTTCTGAATTATTTCCTACGGACAGCTTCACATGAGGAACTTCTCACACTTTCCTCATAAAGGCATTCTGGAGGAGAGCTAGTTTAAGATCCTCCATAGAGGATACTGATACAGCAAGTTCATTCAGCTTTTCTGCCGTATCTTTTATCTTTTTTTTTGTACTTTCTTCACACCTTGATGATCTCTCCTTCTCCAGGCACTAGCATGCTTCCTGCTTTTGTGTGTGGGAAAAATGTGCTATCAAATATTATGCCCTAAAGCATGAATCAAAGGAATTTTGGCATACTTTTGTTGTGGTTATGCATTTAACTTGGCAGCATTGACTAGCTGCCTGCATTGTTAATATTTTTAGTGTTTATTTAAAAGTCCATGTTTAATTTCAGGAGTTTGCTGGAGAATATTATTGAGACTTGTTTCTCCCATGATTTTCTAACTAAATTTTATTCTGTGTTCTTTTATTCTGATTTTATTTAGTGTAAATACACACTAAAGAATGATGCACCATTTAACTTCATGTTTTTCTGTGGTGCATAGTGATGCTCATCTTTAATCCACTCTCATGAAAAGTATGATGAAGGATACCATTGATATTTTTATGAGAATGTCTTGCTTTAGAAAACCCGTTTTTGGTGAGTGTGTGTTTCCAGAGTATGGAAATTGTGCTCTTTCCAGTGTGCGTTTCAGTCGGCATATTAATATCTCACCACGATTCAGCGCTGGGTGGTTCTCCTCCACAGTGAAGATGGGTAGTTGCAGGTTTCTCACCACTTCGTAGTGGTTGCTTTGCTTTTCCCAGACTATACAATACTCTGCATAGTGTCAAGTGCTGCGTTTTACACAAGGAGACAGTGGAGACACCTTTTTATACTCTTTCATTTAAGTACTCTAAGAGTTGAGGAGTATCAAAAATATTCCAGGCCCTAGGTTCAATACATTTTGTATCATTATTTATATTAAGATAAAACAACAAAAAAGGTGTCTTGTATCCATAGCATTAGAGTCCGAGAGCCATTGGCTTTCCCAGATACCAGCTAGGATTTTTGCTAAAAGCTTATCAGTATCATGTAGATACTGAATATATCTTAATAACTAAACTAAGCTATGCATTGTCTACATTTATGATTTTCAGGAAAAAGATAAATACTGAAAATAAATGAAACATTTATTTCAGTCATTGTTTAGTAACATGGCTTTTTTTTTTTTTCACAAATCTGTATGGAATATACAAAACGATTGTGGATCTTGTGAATTTTATGTTCTGTTTTGTTTTTGTTAGATACAAGCTCTTTTGTGTAGTTTCTTATCCACTTCCTGTGCATATGTGCTCATTTGTTTGTGCTGGGATTAACTAAATAGGAACTTTTTGGTAAAAACAAAACACAAGGTGGACACGAAGTGGAATTGTCGTATTATAATCTAATTGTAATATCTAGCTCCTATAAAGGTTATTGGAAAGTGCCAACCTGTGTATGATAGAGAAAGAAACATGTATACATGCGAATAAATACATGATAAATAAATGGGAATTCTAGATAGACAAATTAAAAATACTTTTGCAATTCTATAGTAAACAAAATACCAGTGTTCAAGGGATACTGAAATCCCATATTAGGTTTATTCCCGTGCTTTTGGAAAACAGATGACCCAGTCATCCCAAGTAATTTTAAAAAAGGTAGTTTAGTTCTAGTAGTCTTGAAACTACTTAATAAAAAATTTAATTATGGGAGGAGATTTTGCCCTAGATTGATTTGACTCTGATGTTTGCACATGAGCTGCTTGTTAAGAACATGTTTCCTGTGTTTGGGGGTTTTAAAAAGACTCTGGTTGTATATTCTGAGTGCCTATAAAGGTGCAAAATCACAGTTGTAGTTTCAATTCAGGTAGTTACTGAGGTGGTTTTCAAGTCCATTTTCCTGTACTTTGCAAAAAGCTTTCTTAGACTTTTGAGAGCTATCATATTTGGCTAAAACTGACCATTTTTTTTTAAGTTTTTGCAAAGACTGTTTTGTGTATTTTATATATAGTGTGTAAGTATAGGTAGGAGCAGTGGAAGCTTTGTATTTATAGTACACCAAGTCATAAATATGTGTATTTGCTTTCTGCAAGAGACTATCCTAAAACTAACACGTGAACTGTTTAATTTACTTAGATGGTTTTAAGAGTCAAATAAGCAAGGAAGTAAAAAAACTCATGATAAAGCAAAGCTGCTTTTCCATTTTGTTTTTGGCCTATACTAACTAGTTCTGTAATAGACTTTTTTGATAAATAGTAGAGAAGCTTTGAATCCCATTATTATCCATGGCAAAGCAAGTTGAATTGTATACTTCATTTTATCTTATAGGAAGTGTCTTAAAAATACCAGAGCAGTCTGAGTTGAGTACTCAGTTATACCTCAGTTATCCACCATCACCACGGAGATACTATTTTAGTTCCTGTATGAAATTACTGATCGTTACATTCAAATTTTTACTTGATTGTCCAATATAAATGTATTTAATTCACTAAGTGTAGAAATACTACTAACAACACAAAGTTTTATATAATAATGATGAACCCATAATGTAAGTGCAAAATTGACAATGATACCTAACTGAGGACAGGATTTCACCATAAGCTTTTTGTATCCAAGTCATAAGAAAAACATATCAGAATGGGAACGTGCTTAGCTGTAGGTGTATGGGGTTTTTTCAAGATTCAAATTGCCACAATCAGCCACTGTCCTTTTACTTAAGGATTTTACTTAGGGATTCAGTGCTCTATTTTACTTAAGATTTCTGTAGTCCCAATTTTAGAATTCTTCTTGGCACTGTAATTCCCCACCTAGAGCCTGGCAACCTTGTAGAAAAAAATGAAGAATTCCATGTAAATCCTTGTCAACAGAGCTGCTTTTATTTTAACACTCATGTTTTCATCCATTTCATTTGCATAGTTGACTATTTCCAAAAATATTTGGTTGATACAAAATGTAATCAAAATTGTAATATGATATAAATTAACTTTTAACAGTGAATCATAATTTTGATTATTTTGATTGCTTTTGCATAAATGAGAATACAGCCTGCCTCTAAAATCTGTATCATTATTAGCATTGATGAAAAAGAAACTATGCTAAAAAGAAAAAAAAAACAGTCAAGAATTTTATGGTAAGAATGTAAGTAAGAAACTGGTAGGTGCATCCTTATTATATTTGTAGTGGTATTATATTTGAACTGAGCTTTACTCTTTGAAATTCTCAGATGCAGATCGGCACTGTGAAGTTGCTGGAAATCCGCTGAAGATCAAAAGCACCAGAAAACCACTGTCATGTATCATTGGGTATTTAGGTGGGTATCTGTCCTTGGAGAAAAATTAAGCAAATCAATTTTCACTATTTAGTGATCTTTAAAAATCTTACATGCACAGGATGAAAGATTTATACTCTTATTAACAAGAAAACTATTAAGGTATATTAATAAAAATTCTGGTGGTCTACTGTAATTGGCTGCAAAACTGCATGATTGATATTGCAGATTGGAGGCAGAAAGCCTTCTTCTGATCCTTGGTTAAAATGACAGATTGCAACCTGATGTACTTGAGAATGTGCAAAAGAGTCTGCTAGTGTACAAAAAAAAAAAAAAAAAAAGACACTCTAAAGAGCTGATATTCTGTGTACTCAGTTCTACTCTACATCTGTACTCCTGGAATCCACTTGTAATACTCCCGTGCACTTAAAAGGAACAGAGCTCTGCCAAACTGAATGCTGATGTTCTTTTAATTTGATGGTGTAGTTCAAAAAGATGTATTGAAATTCTGTACTGAGATCACAGCTAAGAGGACAAGAAGCTCCTATGATAGTGGAAGGAAGGACTTAAAGGAAAATTAGTAGCTGTGATTCATTATTAAAGTCCAAAATGGCCCTCTTTGCTCACAACTGCCCCAGACTATCAAGTACTTAAATGATTATGTAAGAGGTGAGGTACCTCAGAGGCTTTCATGAATTTTAAATGAATATAAAAATCAATCCATTGCTCAGAGAAACAGTGAATATTTCTACAGCATATTAATCCCATTTCACAGAAGGATAGCTGAGGTTAGGTTACAGTCCAGGAGTTTTGCTGAAAATTGCAGTCACCAGGAGTTCATTTATACTAGCACAAAGTAAACATATACAATAACAACCTCTTGATTTGCTAAAATAGAGATCATCCTTTAATGCAATGCATCCCATTTAACAAAACCTAAGTTTCAGAAAACTGGATATGGAAGAGTTCATATTTACTCTTGTTGAGCTTTGATTCCTCCTACCCTAAAGTTTAAGGGAAAAAAAAGCAAACAAAAAAAAACTAGTGGTATTTTCCTATAGGTTTTCCAACTGCATGGATTATTTTGGCCACAGGCAGCATGGGAAGGGGCTGGTTTGATTTGCTTGGTGCGGCTGTGGCTGCGAGATAAGGCAGGAGGTGCAGGTCTGGCTGACCGCGCTGGGGACAACAGCTTGTGCATCTTGGAAGAGACCGCGTGTCTTTAGTGCCTCGCTGCTCAGTCTGAGAAGGGCCATCCTGGTGACTCCGGGATGATCCACCTGCAGGCTTGGTGACCGTAAATGGATGAACAGTGTCCATATATTTTTGTGTGCCCTTGGGTGAGGGTTTTGTAAGGTTAACAGTGTTAAAATACACCAGCCACCCGCAGAGTCAGACGAGCATCTGGTTGTGTGGGAAGTGAAGGTATCTCTGTATGGTTTGAAGGAAAATAGTATGTGCTGCAGGGATATGAAGTATACCTGAAGGAGTTGCGGATATGTATATAAATTAGCTGCGTAAAGATTGCTAGGAAATGGCTTTTAGTTTGCTCATCCCAGCATATTACTGTAAATAAGTAATGCTTATCTTGAAGTCTACCTTTAAATATCAAGACAGAGCGTGAGCGTGAGGTTTTTGTTTTCTATTTCAAAACACCTCTCGTGCCATTCCCACAAGGAACACAGTTAATTTTGTCACGCAGGGCACTGCCCTTTCCAGCCCTAGCAGTAAGGCGGACGGATCTCAGCTCCCTCGGGTCATGGTTTCCCCCGTCGCTGTTCTGCTGCTCGGCTGCCCACCCTGAGGCAGATGGAAGGCGGACCCTGTCCCTCCCAAGAGCGAATCCCCTGGAGTCACCCTAGTCCCCACCGCGCTTGCCCACCCATCCCCCGGGGGAGCCTCGTGCCCCGTGTGGCCTCCTGGTTATGAGGGAACCAGGCGCAGGTTCCCCGCTGAGGTACGCGATGCAGCCGCGCCGCCAGAATTCACGTCACTCGGGTCACTCCGTGAAACCCTTCGGTCCTTTGTTGGCTTCGGGGATTTTTTGTCTTCTTTTTAACCTTATTGACACTAGTGAAAGTCTTCGGGATTGTTATTCCTGTTAATTACATGAGGCTACAACCTGAGCTCCTAATGTAAATATGCTGGAAGTTTTGTTTCTGCTTCCTGAATTTTTTAATTTTGATTTCAGAAATGAATGCGTAGTGTGAATCTAACCAACTGGTTATTTGTTACATTGCTATAGGGGTAATTTGGGGTTATTCAAGTGCTATTTTTACTTTTCCGAGTTAGCAGAAGCTTTAAGTGACTAGGAAAATTTCAGTGAAGAAAAATACCAGGCAACAGAATAAGGATAGCAGGAATAAAAGAATCCCTAATTCTGTTATTCCACAATAGAATAATACACTGAGATAATCTGATTCATGCAGGAGCTCTAAAATATCTCATTACCTCTCTGAGATGTGATCAAGTGGCTAGTTAGTTAGGAAGGGCTATGGAGCATGGAAATCCTTGAAGCAAGCCTATGGGTAGAGGATGAGAGCAGATGATGTGAAGACCCCAAAGGAAGAGGTTCCCAAAGGATGCATGAGTGCAGAAGGGGTCCTGGCTCTGTCGTTAAGTTCCTCTCCAGCACCTAAAGGGAGCGAGTGAGCCTGACTCCCACTGCTTTCCTCTCCTTCATGGAAATCTGAGGATTAGCCCCCCTCTCTGAAGAGAAGTCAAAGGAAAGAAACGCCTCCTTCATTGCTGTTGGCTGTTCCTGAAAATACAAGACTCTCTCTCCCGAACTCTGGAAACAGAAGGGATGTGCGAGTTACTGTCTGTTGACCTAGTGCGGGGATTATTGCGGTTGCTGCTAGAGCTCTTTGGCAAACAAGGTAATATTTATGTGACGTTAGCCCTGAATATTTTTTTTTCTTTCAGAATATTGAAAAAGATTGTGAAAGGAACATTTTAAGTTCCAGATTTCAGTTGCCTTCAGGAAACAGTGCAAACCTTCCTATTGCTTGCTAAGAGAAAACTTTAAACTAAAATTGTGTTCATACCATTAAGCACCCCTCCATTTAGTAGAAGAATAAAATAGACTCATGCTTCCTATGTGAGAATTGGGAGATGCCATGAAATCCTTTAGGCACTTGATGATCTTGGCCCTTTTTTTTATATGAAAAGCTAATGAATACTACGGTCAATAGCAGTAGAAATCTCTGAATTAAACAAGTGGTGGGTAGGTCAGCAACATTTTGTAGGAGTATTATCCTATTCTATTCTTTAATCTAACTCTCCTGAAATATCTTGGAGGAGGATATTTGTATTTTAAAAGTGTGATTGCAGGCACTGACCAAGCTATTGATTAGCAGTTAAGCAAAGTCTTCCCAAATATGAAGACTGTTGGGGTTATCTCTTCCTGATATATTGTTCCCAGCATGTAGTCTGGCCAAATCATTGCGGTGATCCTAGCCCTTTCCACTTACTGGATATTGATGATACTACTCAACTCCTCTTTCTATTTATGCCACTATTATAAAGGTTATAATGACCATAATGCTCTGTTTGGCCGCAAACTCCTCTGCAACCAGGTACGTACTCTGAAGTGCACTGGACAAATGAGTTTAACTGCCTTTTATTTGGCTTTCTGGCCCCAGCTCTAGAATAATCCTGCTATGTAGAGCCTGGGGCATTTGAAACTCTGTAGTGATGATTCCATGTTAGAGTCTGTCAGCACACGAGAAGGCCAATGCACTTTTCACAGAATCACAAAAGGTTGGAAGGGACCTCTAGAGATCATCTAGTCCAACCCCCCTGCTCCAGCAGGGACACCTAGACCACGTGGCACAGGGTGGCATCCAGGTGGGTCTGGAAGATCTCCAGATTCCACAACCTCTCTGGGCAGCCTGTTCCAGGGCTCTGTCACCCCCCACAAGAAATAAGTTCTTCCTCACATGGAGGTGGAACTTCTTATGTTTCAATTTGTACCCATTACCGCTTGTCCTGTCGCTGGCCACCACCGAGAAGAGTTTGGCCCCATCCTCTTTACATTCTCCCCGCAGGTATTTGTACATGTTGGTAGGATCCCCTCCCAGTCGTCTCTTCTCCAGGCTAAACAGGCCCAGCTCGCTTAGTCTTTCTTCATAGGATAGATGTTGAAGTCCCTTAATCCCTTAATCACCTTCGTGGCCCTACGCTGGACCCTCTCTAGAAGCTCAATGTGTCTCTTGTACTGGGGAGCCCAGAACTGCACCCAGTGCTCCAGATGTGGCCTCACCAGAGCTGAGTAGAGGGGGAGGATCACCTCCCTCGACCTGCTGGCAACACTCCTGATGCAGGCCAGGATCCCATTGGCCTTCTTGGCCTCCAGGGCACATTGCTGGCTCCTGAATTATTTATTTATTTATTTTTGGGGGTGTTCCTGTCTCGAAACTGCTACTCTGCTGCACTGGAGTGGTTTCAGCTTCACACCCCTGCTCTAGCCCGCTCCCCAGCTGTTGTTCTCATGACATATATTTAGGGAGATCACTTAAAGCTTGTGATTATGATAGAGAATATTAAATAAACTTAGGTATTAAGTTGATTTTGCTACAATAAAATGCTTTTATCTGCTTGCCTAAGGTCTGTAAGCCCCAATACAAAACTCCAAAGCCTAGGAAAATGTTAATGCAGAACTCATTCGCATCGATTTGCTGAGGTATTGCCTCTTCACCTGTGAAATTTGTACACACCCACGCTGTAACAGTGAACTCTGGCAATTCAAAGTGAAATAAACTTTTCAGATTTGCAAGGGCCATAGCTACAGAGGCTCATGTTTGAATTGTTAAATTGTTTTTCAGGATTCTGTAGTGCACTTCTGCTGAAGAAACTGATTTTTATTTCAGTAGAAATGAAGTAGAAATGAATGGAAAATATTAACTTTTTAAAAAATCAAATATGCGTGTCTCTTTTCTTTCATTTTACACAGAGGTTCATCCTGCAGTGAAACCTAATGTAATCAGGTCAACACCAAGCCTTCAAAGTCCAAGTGCAAAACGACTGCTTGCACCATCTAATCACTCTTCATTAAGTATATTGGGAAAAAGAAACTACACTCATCATAATGGCCTTGATGGTATGTAAAGAATTACAAAATTACAGAATTACAGAACTCCTTTCTGCAGAATGATGAAGTGTTGTTGCCTTTCTGTGAGGAATATGCTCTTTCAGAAATTACATTAAATAAGGGGGTGTAGGCCTCTAAGAAACAAATGCAGCACAAAATAATGCCATAAATCTAATACTATAAAAAGTATATCTAGAGCTAGTGCATTTCCTACTGTGATTTTTTTAAACCCACTGAAAAGTGTAGAACTACTTCATTCACAGTTCTGCTGTGATTACAGTTCAGAGATGCATGTTGTAATGACAGAAATGTAAGATATGATTAGTACATTCATAGCATGGATTCTTAAAGCCATGAATGGCGGTGCATATTCATTGAATATGGCTATATTAAGATCATCTCTTTTGAAAACTATTTTTTGCTGTTTTTTGACTAATCTTCCATCTCAGTAAGAAGAAAAAAAAAAAGAGGAGTTTGATAGAGGGGATGCAGTCTGTGTTTTCTTTTGACTCATCACATTGCACTTTTATTTGAGGAAATATTTTGCAAGGATACTGTGACCTTGTGAAGACCTGTGAATTATACTATGCTAAATTACTTCATACACAGTTAAATAGCAAAATACTTGACCTACTGGTTTACAATCAATCTCTGTGCTAGTATATGAATTCAATACATGGCTTAAACCAGATTCTCCAAGCTGTCATCGGTAATAAAGGGAAAGTTGCCGTTGGCATCTTGCATCCCCAGGTAGGTGTTACAGATTTGATAAAAAAAAAAAAAAAAAGATATTGCTTACAGGAGCCAGGACTGATCAAAGGCAGGAGCTCCTTAGAAAGAGGCCATCTCTATATTTATGCCATTTGCAGAGGAGGGAGTGAAAGGGAGTGTTGCAGAGATATGGGGCAGGCTCCGTGCATGCTCCAGAGGTGGGTGTTCTACCTGGTACTCACCCCCATGTTAATGTGGACTGAGGGAAGGTCAAGTATAAAGCTGCCTCCGAAATGAGGGAAATTTTGGAGTAATTATGAAGTTTCTCAAATTGTCTGTATTTTGTACACTGGAAAGCGATGGAATATCACAATTTTTTTTTGGCATTATCTCCAGAAAGAAAGGTTTTTTTAACTGTAAGTGTGAACAATTTTACCCTATGTGCAAATAAGAAGAGAATCTAGCAGGATTTCATCAGTATGCACCAGAAAGAAATGCACTGCATTCCCTGAAGGATCTTTTGGGCAATTTCAGCCTCTGTAAGGAATCACCTTATTTGTTCAGTGTGGTTGTTAAGACTATGCCTTGAATTAGGGTCTGAAATAGACTCCTCAAGACATGAACTTCACAGAAGAGATGACTGTTTTAATGTTTCACAAAATAGATGTGGAAATGAGGGGAACTTTCAGCGAACTAGTAGAAATAGTCTTCAAAATACAGGAAGGAAAAAAAATGAAAAAATAGTGACTTTCCCTGTAATTATCATGCTTTTCTGTCATTGTTAACATTATTTGTAGCTTACAGTGAAAATATTTCCTGTATTTTTAATAGTAGCTTTAAATCACTCTGTATTTTGACCAAAAATGGTTACTCTATAGCCAGAAGAGAGGATCATGTGGAGCTTTGTGCAGGATGCAAGCGGGCATTACGAGCAGGCAGATCACATGTGTGGAGACAGAACCTCTTCCTTGGCCAAGATGAGGGGCACCTGACTTTTATTTGGGTAAAAGATGATGCCATTAATAGCTTCAGCCTTGAGCACAGAGCATTTCACAGGCCTGAATTTCCACTGTGAACTTTCAATGTGAAGCTCTGTATTGATGGTCTGTGAGTTAATGTGTGCAATGATGAATCCAGGCTTTTTTCCCCCCCTCTAATGTTGGCCATTAGACTAGATCTGTTTGATCTTTGAGGGATGAATGACTTCCATCTGGAAATAAATATGATATTATTTTCCTGGAAAGTTATAGCAATAATTTCAGACTAAGCTTATTTATTATAATGATGTCTGCATAAGAAAGAGCATGTAAAAATTACTAAAATTTTTGCTCTGTTAGTAAAATATTCTGTCAACAGTTTATAAACTAGTCAGGAGTTGCACTGATTAGTTTGCATATATCAGCTAATTGTGTTAAGGAAATTTGTACAAAATAACATCTGATCTGAAAATAATATTCTGCTCTGGAAGTAGTTGCTTTCATAAACAGTTATTTCTACTGCTTTTTTTTTTTTTTTTTGGTGAAAACATAACTTTAAGGAAAGTATATAGCTCAGATAACTGAAATCTGGAAGATGTATTTTAGTAGTATAAAGATGTCTATTTTGATTCTTGGCCTACCTCACCTCTTTAATTAAAAACCTGGGAAGTGTAGCTCATGCAAACTGCAAGATAATTCCTGGAATATTGTCTACCATACAAAGCAATAATGGAATTTCAAAAGAACAGTTTCAAAGAGAGACTGAACTTTTGGAAAAACTGCCTAGAAATAATTCCCTAAGCAGTGCCATGTGAAACTTGATAAACTGAGTAGCTATGATAGCCTTTCTCTTCCGTGCTGCTAGATTTCCTACCACTTTGTAGTATGTGGGGAGAGATCAATGATGAGAGAAATTAATCGTAGCGTCATTGAGTGAAGTTGTTTCTAACACTTGGGTGTTTTTTCTTTAACGTCCCCGTTAAAGAAGCGCAGCAGGTGAAGGGCAGAGCCGTTGGGACCCCGGCAGACGTGCTCTCCGTGAGTGGTGTTTCCTCACCGTTAAATGAGTCAGTACGGGTCTGATCTTCTGAAACTCTTTGTTTTTATTAGACAACTCCATTGGACCAAGGCAAGCAGAAGCTTAAGAAATATCTAGCTTTTAATGCTGCTGGCCAAAGCTTATCCTTTTGATGAGAATCTTTGAGTTTTGATGGCAGATTGATTTCCCATAGAACAAATTGCACTGCTGTCTTCTGCCACATGCCAATCTTACCAATAATTTTTATTTCAGCTACATGCTGGCTGTAGTCGCTTTCATCTCAATATCCATTTTTCTGTATTGGCACAGTACTTGTTGTCTTCCCCCTTGATATTTTTTCTGTTTATTTTTCCATTGCTTAATCCTCCTCCCATGGAAAAATAAAATGCCGAAGAAAACCAGATTCTCAAAACCGATCTAACCAGTAGTGGTGATAGTCAGCCACACAGGTCCCCTGTTACTTTTGACTTTAAAATATTTCTTTTTAATGGGTGCTAATTAACTTCCTCTTTGGTTATTGGTAAATGTAAAATACTTGTTTGGGCTGTAATCTATCCAACTACTTTTCAAGTCAAAACAGCAACTGAGTGACCAGAGCAACTTGGGAAATGGTGGTTTCTGTGTAATTGCACTCACAGCAGTGTGTCATTTGTGCAGGGAAAGGTTCCTCTCCCCACATCCCCTCCCTGTTTTTTATGTTACTATAAATATACTAAAAAGCTTCTTTGTTACCAAAATACTATTGGTTGTTCCTGGTTTTATTGCACTGTACCAATTAGGAGCACCCAGAAAGCCTACTGTGAAGATGATACATTCTGTCTTTCAACTCATGCTTTGATGAAATGAGCAAACAGAAATGAGCCCAGTGGGCTTACATTAGACCTTATCTCTGGCTTGTTTCATAATCTTAATGTTATTGACATAAAAATGTCTGTATGTTCAGTTTGGCTTTTTTTTTTTCCAATACTATTAGAAAATTGTTTTAAAGAAGCCACAGAAATGTGTTTGTTTAAGATATACAATAATGTAGCTCATTCAAGTAAACAGCACTTAGTCTTGTGTAAATATATATTTGGATTGGTATATTTAAAGGCAGTCTTATTAAATAGGTAAGTTGAGAGCTTTATTTTGACTGAATTGTTATTAGTAAAGTAATAAGTAGTGGCTCAGAAACAGCACAGTGTAATATGGCACTGCTACTTCTGTGCGTTTCTATGAGTGGTGAAAGATTATGACAAACATTATTAGTATTTGGCTTAATGCTTTTAAATAATATTGTGCTTAATTAAGGTGATGGTTGGCATTTCTTGAAGAAGCTTCTCTTGGCTCGAATCTTGATTTTCCCACTGCAGCGCAAGCATCCCCGTTCTGAACAGTGGATGTGCCTCCAGCAAAAGTCTGGTGCAACTCATAGGGAAGCCTGAGGTTTCTAACTACTACTGCCTGATCCTTGGGAATGCTAAGGAGCAGCTTTATTCCTTTCCTTTGGAAAACAGTGGGTTTTGTGCCACAGTCTCTTGCTGTTGACAGATCTGAGAGCATCAGTCAGCGATGGCCTAGAGATGCCGTTCCAGCCGTGTGCGTGCGCCCTCGGTGAGGCTGAGACCTGAACAAAATACAGCCACACTGCCCCAAGCTCCCCTGCTTAATTGTGCACTGTAACTGCTCTTCTGGGACGTGGGTGTTTGCTGAAGACAGGCTGTTAGCCAAGGCCATCGCCCTCCTCATAGTTTTCTACGTATGAGCAGGGGAGTATGTTGTAGCTGTTTACATCCTTTCTGGAAAAGGAAGACTTTCAATGGATGATCTTAAAAAAGTGTCTTTCCTCCTGTTTTCAAATAATGGTAAATCACGCATCTTGTTTTATGGTTGAATGAGAAATGCCAGGAAGCTTTTTTCCATCTGGGAAAAATTACAATATTTCACAGAGTTTTCTTGTTATATGCATACAGATGCTTTTAACTGCTCTGAGAAACTGAGTTTGCAGCCTGCTGAAAGCACTTGAGTCAACACAAGATTATTTAAGCGATTCTCAGTAGTGAAGACAGTCTCTTTCAAAAGTGGAAGAGCTGTCTTCTGAAAATCACGGCATGGCAGAATGCCTCATTTATCCTGTTTTATGACTGGAGTGGATGACGAGAGGATTTAGGGATGCCTGTGGAGTATTTTGTAGAAATCTTGAATCCGATCTTCTACTTTACAATGTCTGAAATTATTCCGAGCAACTGCTTTTACCCACAAGTTTCTTAACTGCGAGCAACAGTGCACCCAAGCAGTGCAGT